ATGTTTTTCCTTTTGTTATTAAATTATCCAATTTTATACGTATATATATATATATATATATATATATATATATACAGACACAAGTTGCGATGGGTATAATTTCGACATTGTATATTTTAATTTCACGCATGCACGTTGTTTCGATTTTGTCGAATACACAGTATCATTTGGGCACCCTATGTGAGAAAAAGACGCAGTTCACTCCGACAGAAATTTGTGAACGGCATGCTGTACTGTTTGGCATTCGCGCCAGAAGCTCCAATACGAACAGTTCAGTGTGTTTGGGTGTCAATCTGAGGAAAGCGCAGAGGATTCAGAAAGAGCTGTATGAGTCTAATGGTGATTACGAAGGCACTGACCCCATCAAGATTAGTGTTAATCGATATCTTTCCTACATAACCTCGTGAACTTCACATCTTGACTTTTCTTACTCGCATGGAACACCCCACTGTAACTGTCTACCTTGAGTGGCTCTTGGGCCTTGCGCATATATGTGTGTGTGTGTGTGTGTGTGTGTGTGTGTGTGTGCATGTGTGTGTGTGTTTATGATTATATACCGTACCTATGAACACTAATGGATATGTTCCAATCCTCATAAATACGATGGACACGATTGTAAGCGGGAGTAATATACTGTCTAAGTAACAGTGGTTTACCTAATTCACGCCGCAGGCGAGTATTGTATTTTGTTGATCTTATAAAGATTAGCGTTTCATTTCCAATCTCGATTTGGTTATTCTTCATTCAATAACTCTTCCTATGTTAAAACAATATGAATGCAGACAAAATGAAAATTAATCATGGCAACGCGTTCCGTACTCTTAGAGACTTTATCAAGGCAAATGCAATGTATTTATATTACAGCAAGTATTTATCTACAACGGAGAGGATATTATTGGTTTTGCAAAATTTTTAAGTATAGGAACGCTCCTAAATATTAATCAGTCTAGCTGAAGAATCAGAAAAAAAAACATAGCGGACACGAAGTGACACTATTCAACGTCCAAAAAACGAAAGTGAGCAAAAAACACACACACAAAAAAAATAAAAAAAAATAAATAAAAAAAAAAAATATATATTTGATGCACACAATTCTGCGTTCACTATTTTGTTATGCGTAACTCTTGAAATATTCGACCAAGAAAGCCATAAGTAATAACACATATTATTCCTTTGATGGGGCGTAATTTTGCCCGTATTTTATTCATCTGCATATAGTGCGAAACCAAGAGCCTTTGAGGCTGTGAAATCATTGCAGTATTTATATAATAAAAACAGATTTTGATTTGATTTCCTATGGATAATAAGTGGATTATGGGAAGGCAAAATCAACACGGTTTTCTGATTCCGCGAAATGAATCTGAAAACAAAAAAGCATTTTTACCGGATTAATATAATCTTTGTGAAGCTATTGATCTGAAACATTTTTAAGAGACAAGAGAAAACATCGATAAAAATTAGCATTAATATCAATCACGATGCTTTGATCTTTGCATTGCGATGTTTATCTGTCTTTCTGTAAAGTAAGCCTTTTCTTTTTTGACTGAAAGTTGATTATTTTTCATTTTGTTTTTTTCATTATCTATTAATCTACTGGGTGCCCACTATAGATCGACGTTTTGCCTTCTAGATTCATAGTCTAGTAGTTATGGTTTTGCTTGGAACATTTCATGTAGACCCACTTATGTGTCTCTGTGCCGACACAATTATATGACTCAGAAATATTGGCTAAACCTCTTTGTATGTTTTTATATGTAATCTGGGGGCAAAAATAAAAGCATCACAAAAAAAATTATTCAAATACTTGTGAATTCTATGTGACATTATCGCGTAAATTACACTACTATATATATATATATATATATATATATTCACACACACACACACATATATATATATATATGTGTGTGTGTGTGTGTGTGTGTGTGTATACAAATGAGAGAACGAACATATGGAGTAAAATCGACTGTTCGTTGCATTACCTTTTGAAAATGCTCAATATTAAGTAGAGCAATATATTATTATATATATTATAAGAGATTATAATAAAAACATGTCAAAATCGCTATATAAAAGCTTCCATGTTTAAATACTATGAATGCAGACAAAATGAAAATTAATCATGGCGACGCGTTCCGTACTCTTAGAGACTTTATCAAGGCAAATGCAAAGTATTTATATTACAGCAAGTATTTATCTACAACGGAGAAGATGTTGGTTTTTCAAATTTTTTAAATATATGAACGCTCCTAAATATTAATCAGTCTAGCTGAAAAATCAGTAAAAACATGGCGGACACGGAGTGACACTATTCAATGTCCAAAAAACGAAAGTGAGTAAAAAGCACAAAAAAATACAAAAAAAAAAAAAATAAATAAATAAAATAAAATAAAATATATTTGATGCACACAATTCTGCGTTCACTATTTTGTTATGCGTAACTCTTGAAATATTCGGCCAAGAAAGCCATAAGTAATAACACATATTATTCCTTTGATGGGACGTAATTTTGCCCGTATTGAAACATAAAGGTTTTCTGTAGCGATTTAAAACTGTTTACATTATAATCTCTTGTTATCAAAATATAAAACACACACACACACACACACAGATATATATATATATATATATATATATATATATATATATGAGTAAAATTTTTTGTTGACCTTTATGATATATATATATATATATATATATATATATATATATATATATATATATATATATATATGAAGAAATATAGTCTTAAGATGTGCAATATTTATGGGATAAAGGGCTCAATATCAGAGATAAAGCGTGTGTAAAAGGGAACATGGAAGTTAAGACTTAGATGCTACAGTCTATTTCATGCTAGATGCAATCGTCAGGCAACGAGTACCTGACGATTGCATCTAACATGAAACAGACTGTCGCCTCTAAGTGTATGTATCGTTATAAAGTTATAGTAAAAATATATCTAATATATATATCTATATATGTATTATTATAAGAAGTTATAATAAAACTTTTTAAATAGCTACACAAAAGCTTTCATGTTTCAAAATTTTGATTGTCCTTCTTCAGGTGATGGTAAGTAATATATATATATATATATATATATATATATATATATATATATATATATATATATAGTCCTATATTTGAGACTCATCAGGCCGTCCAGTGCTTTCTGCAATATGTTGAGGATTCTTCTAGATTCGATGAATTATATAATTATGATTATTGCAAATCCTCTTATTCATTTCTTTCATTTGTATATCATTGCTGGATCTGGCTTCTCATGCTCTGGATGGAACTGCTTAGAAATAGAAGAGACCGCGGAATTTTTTAACGGCGGTGCTATATCGAGTATTATTAATTACCTCTTCGTCACCGATGTACATTTGGTATGATGCTTGCGTCGTATCGTGACAGTCCGTGCTCGATTCTGGGTAGTGTGAGTGCCATATATAGGTGAATCAGCCGTCCAATCCTTTCTACATTCTGTTTAGTATTCTACCAGATTCGATGAATTATATATATATATATATATATATATATATATATATATATATATATATATATATATATGAGACCGAATAGAGTACAATTCCAACGTTCAATGTAATTTATATATATATATATATATATATATAATATTTTTGTTTAAAAATATGATTCCTTCGCTACATAAGAGTTCTCATGTTTCAAAAACGAGAGCCGAAACCATCCAAATGATTATTAAAATAATTTGAATTGATGTGTTTACTCCCGTTTCATCTTCAAGCGAAATTTTAGGAATAAGCTATCTCTCGGTTTACGTGTGTTTTTAGGCATGGTCCGTTACAGAATTCGTTATTGTGGGAGTGACTAGACTATTTTCCTTCGTTAAGTGGTCAGAGAGTTAATTCTTATCAATAGATTCATCATCTTCTGAGAGGTTTTTCTAAGGTTGGGTAGGGTATCTATTTTAAGGCTAATGTTTGCGGTCACCCTTTAGTTGGTTCCCAGTGAGGGATATTTTTATGGCGCGCCTACAAGTCGTTATGAGTCGGGAGGATTGTCTTTTATTGTTGTCCATCTATTTATTTATTTGTTTATTCAAGTGTGTGTTATAAATACAAACCGTAATGCACTGAATGTCAATTTTTTTTTGCTTTTTGACTACTACAGAAAGGGTTTTTCCTATTTAATGATTTGGCTAAGCTTTTAAGACTTTTATTAAGCTATGGGATTTTTTTTATGCTAATTATTTAATGCGAAATTTTGTTGAGGTCGGCAAAAAACCGTTACCTCCAGTCTATGCTTTAATCATTTTTCATTATTTAGAAATTTAACGATGTGTAGTTTTACACACACACACACACACACACACACACACACACACACACACACACACACACACATATATATATATATATATATATATATATATATAATATTTGATAATTAATATGAATAAATCCAAAGAAAAGTCAATGTAAGAACAGAACAAATATAATGGTGATGAAAGCGGAGACTTCTGAAACCCATGGTAATAATTTATTTCACCGTATTAAATCCGGTCTCTTCAGACCAGACAAGATTTTTAAATTCTACGTATTCCTCTCTTAAGTTTGATTTTTTTTTCGCTCGTGTCTGGCTAAGTTTAAAATTCATCTATTTTTGTAAAATTGTTTGGTCTGAAGAGACGGGATCTGATCTCGTGAAATAAATTATTACCATGGATTTCTAATGTCTCCCCTTTCATCATCATCATCATTATATATATATATATATATATATATATATATATGTATGTATGCATATGTGTGTGTGTGTTCATATCCTCCTGACTGAAGTTATTTTGAAGTATTTCTAAACTGATGCAGCAAAGCCTGTTTAGGTTTTTACTTTTTTGCTGCTGACCAAATCACTAAAAGTCAAATAAAGCCTTTTCTTTACTATTAAAATTAGTTACAATTTAAAAATTACTTAAAATTAATTTAAAATTAGTTAAAATTTATTAAAATTTACTCATGAAGCTCGTTGATCTTCTTATCATTCCTCTTGCTTTTCTCTATCTCATTTCTTTTGTCGAAAACGTGACACTATATTGACAATGGTTTACTGTTGTCAAGTAATTGTCTTATATTTTTAAAAACGAAACCTGATCCTACCTCTTGCGCCTGCCGTAGAGCAGTGAAAAATATCTGGATCTTACCTACAAATAAAGAAGAAAAAAAAAGCACATTATTTTTTTTATTATTTTAATCCCCAAAAGGCACATTTATGCAACAGAAAATATATACGACAGTTATATCAATTATTTAAAAAGACAATAATTTTCAGTTTGTGTTTCTGTCCGCGCAAATTCGTGAACGTTGATTAAATATGTATAAAGATTGATATCTGTTTGTGTATCCATTTCTGCGCTTAAATATTACGTTAAAAATTGATATTTTTAAATCATATACCCCAAGCAGGGCAGAGGAGTCATTAACAGACAAAGGGTAAGTGAGGGTGAAAGAATAAGAGAAAAGAGAAAAAATATTAAGGAGGGAGAACGATAGAAGAGTAATCAAGAAGACAACAGATAACAAAGTTGGCGGGAAAGATTAGAGCAGGAAGAGAGTTCCATAAGAGAGATGTATGAAAGAAGATACTGCTAGCATAAAACTTACGGTTCCATCTAGCCAATGTAATTGTGAATTGATCAAAGGAATACGATCATTGTCTTTTAATTCTGTCCACGTTTCACATACATCTTGATTGGCTTTCTGAAGGACACTCAAAATTTCAAGAGAAAATTTATATTTATTAAAATGCTGTTTGTTCATTGTCCCTAGTTCACTCACATACTCCTGTGAATAACTACGAGTACACATACAATGATCAAATACAATATTTCTTGAATTTCGTAACGTTTTCTTTAAGGTTACGTTTTCAGCATTTTAAACTATTAGCGATTTTCACTAAGGAAGATCGTACAGATAATCATCGTTTACTCCAGGAGAAACTAACGTCAATGATAATTATTTTTCTTTTAAATAATATATTTAATTTTAAAATATATTTTGCGTTTCCAAATGTATAAATTTAAAACAAATCAGACGCAGTAATGTGCGTTAATCACAATATCATCAGTTACAATATCATTACATTTTATTTTTATTTATTTATTTTTAATTATAGAGCGTCCTGGGTATGACGATAAACTACATCCAACAGCAAGGCCTCTGATAATACGTTTTTGAAAAAAAATTTGCCAGCTGTACTTTTTTGAAAAAATATTACCAGCTATACATTTTTTTTTTTAAGAATAGTGTTACCGTCTATACGTTTTTGAAAAATAATATTACCAGGTATATGTATTTTAAAATAATATTACCAGCTATACGTTTTTTGAAAAATAATATTACCAGCTATGCGTTTTTGAAAATAATATTGCCAGCTATACGTTTTTGAAAAATAATATTACCAACTGTACATTTTTGAGGAAAAAAAAATATTAACAGAAATAGATTTTTGACAAAACAAAAATATTACCAAAAAAAAAAAAAAAAGTTGTTGGCATTAAATGACCCACTGAGGTTGGCGTGCCCTAAAACAAAACAAATCAAACAAAGAAAATTAATTAAAGAAGAAATCTTTTCTCCAACGAAACAACATCTACTTTTCCAGGTCGGCATCTCAGTCCCACCCATTCACTGTCGAAATGGTTAAATGTAGCCGTCTCCTCTACTCCAATAGCTTCATGTCTTGCACATCCCGTCCGGGAAACTTCCTTCCTCTTACTTGCTTCCCTGAGAACTATAGTCTTTAATTATTCAAATGCAATATCAATCGACATCTGCAGATGCCTATATATAATTGCCCGTCCTTCTCTTCATCCTTTCCTCTATCACGCCTCTTTATTCTTGCTCCCACTTTCTGTAACCCCTTGCGTGGTAGTGGCACTCCCGTCTTGCATGGGGTAAAATGCTTTATAAAAAATTTCTAAAGATGCTGATGTGCGTGATCTTTTGATAGGACAATGATTGTGAAAACTTTAATGAAAAATTAAAGCAAACTTATTAACATGATAACTATAATTAAAAATAAAAAAAACATATTTCAAACTCCAACATATATATATATATATATATGTGTGTACACACATATATATATATATATATATATATATATATATATATATATATATATATATATATATATATATATATATTTTTGTGTGCGTGGGCGTGTTAGAAATATGTATAGAGTGAGATAGATTAACCTTTATATCGGAGATACTAAATGAAAGTTATTTGTCGCTTTTTTGTTTCATGGAATTCTTGTGAATTTAAAATTGTAGCCATTCCCACCGCATTTAAATAGCAATCATATTCTTATGACCACTACAGCTACACATAAAAATTTAACAAACTCTGTTCATGACGGTGTGGGAAAAAGATGTAACCCCAAAATACAGAAGTCTTATTGTTTCCACGCTCATAGGATCGGGCTCAGTGAAAAATTGGAGTTTTAAATGGTTGCCCTAATTTGGCTTAATTGATACAATTTTGTAGTTAAACAGTGATTTGATAGAGAAAAATAACAAATCACGTTCCCCGACATGGGAAGATAGTCAGTCACGTTGTACAGCTTATGTGAAACTGTAAGTGTTATATTTTAAAAAAAAAAATTTTCGAACGATGAGCTCGGAAGTGAGAAGTCGGGAAGGTCTTATTTCAGGAAAAAACATCGTAAACATGCTATTCACTTTCCTTTATCCTCGATGATTACATACACATCGGTATATCACGTAAAATCGATTCACTCCCCTGACATATTCTGCCTCGCGTAGAGTCTCACATACACGTATACACACAAATTGGATATTGAATCTTTTAAACGAGTACGACCATTGCTGACGAGTTTAATCATTGTTTTTAATTCTCGTAAGAAGGGCAAAGGCTCTTGAAGCCAGCAAGATGCATGTAATGCTTATTACAAATGTGGAAAACGAATTTTTCCATGGCCTACCCAGTTTTGTAAAGACAGCTTGCTCGTGGGGTTTAATGCCATTACAGAAACCGGGGGGGTACAGGTTTTATGACACAAGCTGCATGTTCATTTATTTCCTTTTAAATACTAATCGAAATTTGTGAAAGGAGTAGCAATATGGGTTTTTTTGTGTGTAACGTGGTCTGCATTGCAGAGACATACTCTGCAACATTCATCACATGTAAAATGATGAATTGCCCGATCAATGATTTCCCCTTTCCTAGCTGCACGCTTATCATTTGGCCAACTCATTGGATGTCCTTGAAGATCTTAGTACCATCACAAATACTGGGGCTCTACATAAGTGGATCACAAGCCACAGTTTCTCATTGAGGACCTTCTATATAGCAGCCTTTATATACACACATACACATGAATTTTAAAATGACCAAACTGAATCAGAGATCTTTGGAAATGGTAGGATCAGAAGCAAATGTTTAGATTCGCAATGGTTCGCTAATTTGACAATATATATATATATATATATATATATATATATATATTCAAAATTATAGAAAATGTTGGGATAGTTAATGTCGCTAATAAATGTTATAGGGATAAAAATCATATGGAAAAGTAAAAAACTAAATAAACACTCGTTTGATTTACACTCCAGTCAAAAGGGCAGACACAATTTCTGTTTACACAGGAATATAACATGTCGTTATAAGTTCAGTTTCATAGGTCTAGATTACACTAGAGCATCAAAAGGTAGACGCAGGTTAGATTCACTATAAAAGCTAAAATTAGCTCTATATGTCCGGTTTCATAGGTCTGGAGATTCAAAGTTAGACGCAGGTTAGAATCACTATAAAAGCTAAATATAGCTATAGGTTAGGTTTCATAGACCTGGATTACACTGGAAATCAAAAGGTCGACGCAGGTAAGATTCATTAAAAAAGCTAAACATTTGCTAGAGGCCCGGGCTCATACGTCTGGATCCAAAAGGTAGTCTCAGGTTAAAGTCACTATAAAAGCTAAATATAGCAATTGGTTAGGTTTTATAGGCCTGGATTATATTGAAGATCAAAAAGTAGACGCAGGTCAGATTCATTATAGAAATTAAAAGTTAGTTCTAGGTGCGGTTTCAAAGGTCTAGATGACACTGCAGATCAAAAGTGAGACGTAATTATAGAAGCCAAAAGCTAAACGTTTTTCCGTTTTACGCCAGGCGTAAGAGATAGACATTAATCTATCTTTAGTAAAGTCAAAAATCTAGATTGGTTTGCACTAGAAAAAAAAATACATAATAGTCTGTTTTTTAATAAATAAATAAAAACAATCTCACGTCAGTAAAAAAAGAAGACAAACACACGTTAGGTATACGATAGTTGTAAATGGTTAGGCTATGTTTTGTGTTTAGTCCAGGTGAAAACGTTATGCACTATCCCAGTTTAAATTAGAAGATAAAAGATAAAGACAGATTAGTAGAGAAGCGAACTGGTAGACACGAGTACGATTTAAATGAAAAGCGAAAAGTTTGAAATGTAGACTCAGTTCCAGTTTAAATTACACGCTAATAGGTAGACACAGTTCAGACTTATCATAGAGATAGACACAGTAAATTACAAAGCTAAGAATAACATACAAGCCAGGGTAGACATACATTAGGTTTAATCTAGAATACAAAAATTTACTGATTGGTCTACTTTACACTTTCTTCTACACCCTTGTGCGAAATGATTAAAACAACCGCGTTAGTTTCCTTTCATTCACCATACGATCAGTTTTAGACCCCCTGGAGTGACAAGGTGTAATCGATTTCTATTTTTTCCTCAGATTAGATTATTTGCAGTGATGTGCAGTAATATGAATCTATTTTTAGGGTTTATGATGAAATTTGTTTGCCTTTGAAAAATATTGCATCATCCGTAATTGCATCGGATTTTTATCACGTCAAAACATTATTGTCTCGACTGTCGATTTGTTGTCCTACGATCGTTGTCTGCAATGGGCGTTACTCCAAGGAAGCATACGAAAATTATAACGCTTGCACGAATAGACTGACAAGCCTTACCAGTGGGCACATCAAAGTACTATCGACTGGCTTGGAAACTCTCCCGATTTAAATCCAATCGAGTATCTGTGGTAAATTTTCAAGAAATAATTTCATGGAATGGACATACGAAGTACTAACATGTGCCTTTTCATTGGAAAATACTAAAAAAGTAAATAATAACGGAATTATTCGTTTTGTTTCAATTAATTTGCACAAGGATGGCGTTTCCCTTCAGGACGTTGTTGATGATGACTCTCCACAGCTTTCTGTCCTTTGCAGCTCATAGGTTGGTTTGTTTTTCTGTCATCTCTCTGGAATCCGGTTTTGCCTTTCGTTAGTTTGATCATGCGCTTTTTCCCTTTGTACTTTTCTCCTTCAATATATCCGGTGTTTGTCAAATTCTCCAAACAATCTTTCCTCATTATTTACCTTAGGAATATCAACTATTTCTCTTTAATGCTAAGAATGCGGTCTTTTTGTTTCCATTTTCCCTAAAAAAACGTCTTCGTTACTGATAAGTTTAATCCATGGGATACACAGCATCCTTCTGTAGAACCACATTTCTATTTTCTCAAATCTCTTCATTTCTTAGGATAGAGTTTATTATCCATTGCTATATAGGGGGGACCATATTGCATACCAATTTAGTACGGTTTCCTTTGTTGCAAACGAAATTTTGCCGCGCATTTTAGTGTTAAAAAGTTAGACGCACGCCCATTTTTCACTAGGATATAAAACGGTAGATATTGGTTCAGTTTACATTAAAGGCAAAAATCTAGATATAGGTCACTTTACACTATAATTAAAATTATAGATACAAATCAGGTTTACATAAATAAATGTTAGACAAAAGTCTGGTTTATACTAAAGAAAAAATAGTATTAATCCAAGTCATGACGGTGGGAAAAAGATGTAACCCCAAAATACAGAAGTCTTATTGTTTCCACGCTCATAGGATCGGGCTCAGTGAAAAATTGGTGTTTTAAATGGTTGCCCTAATTTGGCTTAATTGATACAATTTTGTAGTTAAACAGTGATTTGATAGAGAAAAATAACAAATCACGTTCCCCGACATGGGAAGATAGTCAGTCACGTTGTACAGCTAATGTGAAACTATTAATCAAAGTCCAGTTTACACTAAAATAAAACAAAATGTAGACACTACTTCATTATAATGTACAGGCAAAAAATGTAGAAAAATGTCCTGATTATATCAGAAGCAAAATCCTAGATGCGGGTCAGGGTTACATAAGAAGCTAAACAATAAACAGCGGTCCTGTTTAAACAAGAATCAAAAAGTTAGACGCAGATCAGATTATAGAATAGAGTGGTAAAACGTAGACATTGCTCGGGTTTATGTCGAATTCTCGAAGTCTCCAGCAGGAAGGTACACTCACTTGTAAGCAGATTTATTTTGTCAGTGTAAGTAAAATCGATGTACTAAATATTTCCTTGATGAAAAATAAATATAACTTTATATTGAAGTACGTTCCCACATTATCGACTGGCACATTCCTTTCGACTCCGGACACTGAAAGTTGTAAATCTCTTATTTACATTTTCGTTTACCTTCAGGTGTTCGGTCTACGCCCATTACACACATTTTCTTTTATGTAAAATTATGTCGCACATTGAGTTGTAAAAAGAACTTTAATTTGGGTGAAACTTGCAGGACCATCATTGTTTGCCTATTCTCTTTTTAACACGAATGGTAACAAAAAGGTCATTTATATTTAGAATCAGATAGAGACAGTTGAGATTTGTAGTGCGCGTAATGACAAAAGATGGCTTGGAGAATATGAGACACTTAGGGCGTATTGAAGCCAAGAAATGAATGAATAAACTACCTAACTTACGGATGTATATGATTGGTAGAACAGGGTGTAGGAGAGATAGCAAAAAGAAACAATTTACCAAGAGCTACAAAATACAGGAAAATATAGTGAGTCATGATCAGCCCCGACAGAAGACACACGGCATTTAAAAGAATAGATTTAATACCATTGGGTGAGTCACAAACTCATGTGCAAACTGCACGTGAGTTTGTGAGTCACCCAATGGTATTAATCTAAAGTGAAGCAAAGTCGAAAAAGCAGATAGCATTAAAATAACTCGATACCATAATCCAAAGATATATTCGATGTTATATATATATATATATATATATATATATATATATATATAAAACTTTAAACGTTACTTTTCGTCGTGGATAAATCGGATTTCAGTTATGAATAGTACCTCATGTGTTAATGTGTCAAGACAGACTGTTTGTAGACGACTGCAAGAAATAGGGCTGTTTAATCGAACCCCAGGGAAGAAACCACTTGTTAGTTCGAAGAATAAGAAGAAGAGATTAGAGTTTGCAAACAGGTATGTAATTTGGACATATGAAAATTGGGCAAAAGTATTTTCATACCCTTTTAATTTCTGTGCAAGACTTAAAACAGTCCTTTAATGACATACGCTGCATTATTCAATCTTCTCTTGCCGAAGTTTTGCGGGGTCTGCCGGTTTTAAAAGCACTAACTATTGTGCCAGTATCATTGTAGGATTTAACAACCCTGCCTACAACACTCTTGGAACGTTTCACTTTCTCTGAAATCTCTCTAATGGTGTGCTTTTCCTTGTGTAGCTTCACAATAACTTGTCTCACAGAGTAATCAAGTTTTTGGCGTTTCGCCAAGGTGCCGGCTGATGCAACGTTTCCAAATGACTAAGTAAGACTTATTCTTTAGAGGAAATCAAAAAAAAATTGAATATAGCATACTGTTTACATTGTTTTTCTCAATGTTGTCCCTTACTTTTGGACGATCCTATTTTGAAAATAAATAAATAATTGTTATAATTCTTTTTCTATCCTTTGCAAATGATTCAAATTTTAGTATGTTATTATGGATGATAACGACTACCAGTTGTCAAAATTTCAGCTTTTCACAGTTGTTATTTCTAACAAATATTAGGTTTTAAAATTTTGTCCCTTAGTTTTGGACGCTACTGTATATATATACTGAATATATATATTTGAAACAAGCAAGGCGATAATGCCACTACCATTCAAGGGGGTTCGTTACTATGAGTGAAATGAGAATTTAACGTGGAGAAAAGACAATAAGAGAATAGGATTCAGGATAGCGATTTCAGCTGGCATTTATATTTTTGAAGATCGTATGTGGCAGGGAAGCAGGAAACGATAAGAGCATTCCACAGGCGAGAAGTACAAGAAAAGAAAATATTTGAATAGAACTATTACTTCTAACATTTTCAACAGTAAATAATATGATATCTAGTAGTATACTAGATTCATTCGATCTACGTTCCAATGAGGAAAGCTCCTGAGAACAATTGCCATAAAATTATTAATAGAAAAGACAAAGGGAAGCCATATCACAACGAGGTAAAAGTTATTGGAGTCATAATGCCAGCACAGTACCGATAATATTCCAGTGACATCTTTGGCTTTCGTCGAGAATTTCAAGATATATAGCAAAATCTATCTATCTATCTATCTATCTATCTATCTATCTATCTATCTATCATCACACTTAGTACATATTTATCTATATCACTTAGTTCCTATCTATCTATCTATCTATCTATGTTCGTATATATCTATCTATCTACATATATACGTATATATCATTCAGTTCATATCTGTCTATCTCAGTTCCTATCTATCTATCTATCTATCTATCTATCTATCTATCTATCTATCTATCTATCTATCTATCTATCACACTCAGGTCATATCTCTCTGACAGTTCATATCTGTTTATCTATATCATTCAGTTCCTATTTATCTCAGTTCTTTATCTATCTATCTATCTATCTATCTATCTATCTATCTATCTATCTATCTATCTATCTCATTCAGTTGATATATGTCAGTTAATGTCTATCTATCTAGATACATATATATGTATATTTCACTCAGTTCATATCTATCTATCTATCTATCTATCTATCTAACTATCTATCTATCTATCTCATTCAGTTGATATATATCAGTTAATGTCTATCTATCTAGATACATATATATGTATATTTCACTCAGTTCATATCTATCTATCTATCTATCTCATTCAGTTGATATATATCAGTTAATGTCTATCTATCTAGATACATATATATGTATATTTCACTCAGTTCATATCTATCTATCTATCTATCTATCTATCTATCTATCTATCTATCTATCTATCTATCTCATTCAGTTGATATCTATCTTTCAATTTTTTAATTTCTTGTTTCTTTGTTACTTCCCTTCATTTTTTTGTTCAAAATATTTTATTTAAATGTAGCAATGTCTGTTCGACACCCCTTGTCTTTCCATTAAATATTTATTCTTCTACCCGCTTCATCTACCCTGTTCTAGCTGACACTTATAATTTTTTTCACTTACTTTGCCTTAATAATTCTTTGCCAGTACCGGCTATTAAATGACATTTTTTTTAATTAAAAATATTTATTGTCTTTAACAGAAGCAAAACATATATTGTTCTCAACAAATTAAATTTTGGACGTTAGCCAATGAAGACTTTCCTTCGCCATTCAATATCGGAAGACAGTCTACAATATAATGAATTCCAATGACGTCAGGAAGAAAACAATAAAAAAAGCCCCAAAAACTCAGAACGAATCTCATTTCACTTTAGATGAGAGAAAATCAGTCAATTATACAATGACATTGGTTTTATTAAAAGAAAGGAGGACATTTGAGACTACCAAATTTTATTGAACGTTTTCAAAAGCTTCGTTTGGCATAAGGCCTTTATATGAAATCCCCAAATAGCACTCCTTGTTAATATTTGCTCCATGGAAAACGATAAAATTATTTATAAACATAGATTGTTTATTGATTTGATTTTTATGGCTTATCAACCCCTTGTGTCTCGTTAAAATCCGAAACATATTTTTCCATTAAATATTAGATTAATAAATTTTGAGAATAACAATGTTTGTTTTTCCACATTCTCTTGCAATTTAATCGAGAGTAGCGGAGAGGAATCCATATCTTTCTCTTGGGTATTTGCGAGTATATTGAATTGCTCTGTACAAGTCGAGTTTTCAAGCCTTAAAAAATATTTGTAAAACTCGAGATCGACTTATATGGAGAATATAAAATGAAAACCTTTAATGACGAATTGGAAACACGTGGGGCAGCAGTCTAAAAACTAGTGTACAGCATTTACCGTAGTTCTAGCTTCCTGCCACAGACATATTCCACCGAAACTTTTCATTTTAACACAGAAAATGAATATAAAATAGTAACATGAATCGAGTATTCTATTAACGCAAATATCGCGTCTAATAGCGTAAAGATAATGTTTTCTTTTTATGCAAACATAGGCTTTATATTATTCAGACTATTATCCTCATCTTTATTGGCATATTCGCAACGTTTCAGCTGATTGAAATTTTGAAACCAACCCTTTATTTTGTCCACCGGGTTAGATTGTTCTAGTTCCACGTGCCATGCCGCTTCCGGGTGTCGCAGTTATATCCCTCAACGCTCTAAGTATTGGTTCACCACTACTGTGGCCTGGTATTGAACACCCCGGTGGACGAAATAAAGAGCAGACCCGGGGGAACAACGGCCGAAACGTTGTGAATATGGCAATGAAGATGAGGATAACAGTCCGAATAATGTAAATAATGCAAGTAATCATAATACCTCATCTCAGAGATATAGACAGATATATAGAGACATAGACATAAAGGCCGGAGCGTACAACGGCCGAAACATTGTGAATATGGCAATGAAGATGAGGATAACAGTCCGAATAATGTAAATAATGCATGTAATCATAATACCTCATCTCAGAGATGTAGACAGTAATTCCTTGTTCTAGATATTTATATAGTTTTACATATAGTTGTAATAATCGATGATTATGTTTTAAATTGTCAATTTTCATGCCATTTATTCCTTTCTAAATGTTTAACCGACATTTTCCGAGTCTATTTTCTTCGTGCGACTTATTCGTCATTGTCGGTTCATAAACAAATCCTTAATCTTCCGAATTTGTGAAATCGTATTGCTTTGACAATTTAACTGTTGAATCAAGCGGACACATTACTATGGAGACTCAGGCTGGCTACTGCGCATGCGATATTTGATTCCGGAAGTAAAAGCACGAGACACACGCGAGAACAAATACGGCCATTAATTCAACTCAGTGCGTTCATGAAGGTGAGAGAATTGAGACATTTTTAGAAACAAGCCGTAGATAGCTGCTTTTATTTATTTATTTATTTATTTTTTTTTGGTTTCGCCTCGTCTCATTTTTTAGAAGAAATCGATTATCACATTTTTGTAGTTTGCTTTTTTTTGGTTACGATTTCGAGAAAATTTAATGAGTAAAAAAGAAACACAGAAGATGCAATATTTCCTCTGTTTTATTGACCATAAGGGTGTGGTTTTCTTTTTTGCTTTTATCGCTAAATACGAAGCCGACTGAGTACAGTAAATGACCTCATATTTAAACGAGCAACAAATAAATTAATTTCTCCTTTTTCGCCAATTTTGTTATTAATATTTCTTTTTTTGATTGAGTTTTCATACCAATTCTAACTCGTAACCAACAATGGAACTTCAATTAAGGCAAGTCATTTAACTCTTTCATTATTCTGCTCCATGTGGTAAAAACGAAACTAGTGAATAAACTTATGCCAAAGCTTTATTCCATTTTACTCTGACTACTTATCTACTGACGCATAGACAGGGTGCTAAAGTGGATAAAGGCGTTCGTTAGAACCAGTGACAAGTTTGAGTTCAATACCCGGTTAAGGCAGTGGAAAACTTGGAGAGGGGAATTAGCAGGAGATAACTGATAACTGATATTCATTAAACATGGCACGTGGAACTAGAATTGTGTTCACCAGTGAGCGAAACAGAGGGTTCAGTTGGACATTCCAATCAACTGAAGGAGGCCGGAGTGTACAACGGCCGAAAAGTTGTAATGAATATGGCGACAAAGATAAGGACAACAGTCCGAATAATGTAAATAGTGTATATAATATCTCATCTCAAAAAAATAGGCAGATATTAAGTCAGTATTATTATCAAAATTTTCTTAAAATTTTAAATATTTTCTCGCCTTCAAGAAACTGTAAATAGTTGATAACATGTGAGCAAACAAATCATTCAATTAATTGCGAAATTCCTAAAGAAACTAAGGGTTAAAAATGCTTGGTTTTGTGCAGGAATAGTTTTAATCTTTCGTACATCAAGTTTAGGATATCTTTTAGGTGTGTCTCATTAAATAAGTTATAAACATAATTTCTTCAGGTGGTTAGAGCGTATAACGGCCGAAACGTTGTAATAAATATGGCGACAAAAATGAGGACAATAGTCCGAATAATGTAAATAGTGTACATAATACCTCATCTAAGTAATATAGACAGATACTGAAGAAGGCCGGAGTGTACAACGGCCGAAACGTTGTAATAAATATGGTAACAAAGATGAGGACAATAATCCGAATAATGTAAATAGTGTAAATAATACCTCATCTCAGAAATATAGGCAGATAATGAGGGTGCTTTTTATACCTCCTAGATCTTAAGGGGACATAACGGATGATTTATTAGCACACTCCATATTCCATATATTTTATATAATACAAATTTCTAGGTTGTCCCAAATCTCTATTTCCCAGTTAAATCAATCGTATTTCTCACGCTCACAGGAACCGTACCCAGGTTTCCGTGAGCTATCATCATTGTTCACAACTTTATAGACAACAATTTCTTCAGCTCTCAATCCACAACGGGATGCTTATAATCATTTAACTTATGTCTTACGATCTGTGGCCTGTCGGATTCCATCACCTTTTTCTCTTCTACAACTAGATCTTGTCTACTAGCATCGATTGGGGGAAAACGTTAGATTCTAAAACTGTTACGGGTTTGATGTATTGCTTTTTCGAACAGATTGTCATCTTTACTCGTACGTGTGTTCAAAATGTCGTTCGCACAATTCCTCGTGCATCGCCTCATTTCTGATTTTCTTTCTGGGCTAATTTACTGCAATGACCGATTCCTCATTGTTTTCCGAGACTCTATATTTGGTTTTTCCTGTTTTATCCAGCATTCCTTTTTATATCGTAAACGTTGGACGTTTGTATCTGAATCTATCAGACTTCAGCGGAAGAAGATATTGGTTATTCTTGTTTGAGTCCAGAAGATTTGATTTCGTTCGGGAATAGGTAAATATTGATCATTTATTTTTAAGTCAAGATGCATTCATTTGGTTACGGAATAGCTGAACACTGCTCGTTTATATTTGAGTTTATAAGCATTTACTTGGAGGAGATTTGACGTGGCGGAATGATCAGCAAGCTGTCCTCGCTAGATCCATTACGACTAGGTAGTGATTACTCACTTGTTACTCCATATTTTCGGTCTTATACCACATCTAAACTACGCTTTGAAAATCGCTTGAGCCCTTCGACGTGGTGTAATGATTAGCAAGGTGGTCTCACTAGGTTGATTACGATGAGAATTGAGTTCGATCCTCACTTGGGGTTCCATAATTTCGGCATTATGCCACATCGAAGCTACACTTAGTAAATTGCATTACCACTTCGACGTGGTACAATCGTTAGCAAGTTGGTCTCGCTAGGACAGTTACGACTGAGACGTTGAAGTTTCTGGGGCACATAATGAGGAAGGGCGGCCTGGAGAATCTGATACTCACGGGTCGAATAGAGGGAAAGTGAGACAAGGGAAAACAACGCATGATATACCTAGAGGGCTTAAGAAAGTGGTTGACAGAACCTGGTCTTGGTGAGAAAGCAGAAGGAAAGAACTTGTTGAGAGCTCAAGGGATAGACAGAGGTGGGGAGCTATGATCGCCTACATAATGAAAGGACATGGCACATAAAAAAAAAGAAAGTGTGTTCGATCCTCAATCGATGCCCTGTACTTTCGGCCTTGTGCCACATCTTCGCTTAGTAAATTTATTTGTTTTGGGGGTAGGTAAGTTCTGGTCGTTTATATTTGAGCCTAGATACATTTTATTACGTTTTGTGGGGGTAAATATTGCTTGTATATTTGAGTCTCGAACCATCTGCTTGGTTCGGGAATAAATAAATACTGGTTCCTTAAATTTGATTCTACAAGATTTTACTCGGTTCCCGATGAGACAAATGTTAGAAAATTATAACTGGATCAGAAAACATTTATTTGATTCACAGATAACTAAGTAAGAGGCGTCACTATTTGAGACGTTAACTGGAGCAAAAGTTGACTTTAATGCCTCCAAAATTAAACATCTTTCCATTAACTATCT